TGGCAAAACCCCCCTGTTTCAGAACACTTTTGCTATGTACTTCTCTCTGTCCCTAGAATGAAAAAGAATTGCCATTCTGTGAAGCCCCAAACTTCTTAACTGAGTGAAAACTGTTTGAAGAAAGTTTAGCAAAGTTCTACCACTTTTTCTTATGGTTTATTGCTGGAGCACTGGGTTTGCTACATTGGAATCCATCTTGAATTTGCTTTTAGATAAGCAGATGGTTTTTGGGTTAGTGCCCTGCTGGTATGTGCCCTCAGACAGCTTAATCCAGAATGTGCTGGCTTTGTTTTGTCCACTCCAAAAAAATTAATTAATTGTTTAGCCTTTAGTTGGAATGTTGCATTTCCAGTCTCCCAGGGAAATGTAGTTATAAATGTAATAAGCAGCATAATTATTGCAGTGAACTATTACATAGCAGTATATGTGGGGCACGCGCCCTGCAATCTCAAGGCCAATTTTTACATCGGGGTTTTCAATAACACAGTCTATATCAACATAGAAGTGCTAACCTACAGGTACATGAAAATAGAAACCAATTGTATTTCCAAAATATTCTCCATGGTACAAGTAGTTTTTTGCGAACTAGTTATTTGACAGGTGGTTTTTTTTAAAATTATTTTTTAACTGGAGCGGTATGAGACATTGCTCTGTCATCCTAATCTGTCAGGAAAAATTTTACACTTTTGTTTTGTGTCCATGTTTCTTTATTTGGCAATATAGAATGTGCTCTAGCTCACTTTATAAATCAGTTAGTTAACAGAAACACTCTTGATTTTCTTTTTGGTTTGTTTTATTTGTTGCTTTCTCTTTCCCCAGAAGCTTCCTATGTGATCTTAGGTAGGTCACTTGAGATCATGTTCAGACACTGAAGTGTTAAATTCCCATGAGCTGATGCCTCTGTGGGACTGTATTTTAGCCTCTGGTGATGTCATTTGTCAGTCTTTAAATGGGAATAGCAATAATGGTATACCTCAAAGAGATGTCGTTAAGGTAAATATGTTCATGACTGAAAGGGACTCCTGTCAAGTGCTGGAATTGTATGGGCAGACAGGCCTGGACTGAATTGTGCCACAGTTTGTGCTCCACGCTAACAATGGCAGAGTGAAATGCCTTGAAAACAGGGAGCAAGAGTTGCGTTTTGAAACGCTGAGACTTCAAATGATATGACTGGAAGCAGGGATGTTGCTCTTGGGGTAGCCAGGTACCACAGCCATAGTTCCTTTTCAGTGACTGTAGCGCAAGTGGAGGCACGACGTTGGAAAGATTTCCTAGATAAATATGCTTTTTAAAAAGGATTTTTTTAAAGAGCTGTAGAAGTAATTCATCAGGTCTGTTTACAAGTCTGGGGTGCTTTAGAGGACTGAACAGAGTTTGTCCATCAGGAATGGTGCTGAGTAGTTCGCAGTCGGTGTGTTTCTTGGCATACTCCCTGCTAGAGCTATTAACAGCATTGTAGATGTGCAGAGGGGGTGTATATCTGAGGCTCTGTGCCCTAGCAGAGTTAAAACAAGAATAGGCAATGTGCTAATATTGTCAGGAATAGTCTTGCTTTGGCAGGGAAATAGATTAGACAACCTGATAAGTATTCCTTTAAAAAAAAAAAAGTCTTTTCTTTGAGTCAGTGTTACAGTACAAGCAATCCTACTTTAAAAAAAAAGCCAACAGTTTTTTTTTGTTTGTTTGTTTTTTTAAATACAGTAAAGATGAAGGTAATCTCAAAGACATCTTTTCTCTAGCCCACACAGGGTAAGAAATGAGGAAATATAGAGAGATTTCTGCTGGTTTATTTCCTTCAATTCTTTGTCATGTATAGGAATGGGGTGTATTACTTTCTAAATAATTCAGATTCCAGAGGCATTCCTTGTGTTATACTTATAGAACAGCGGAGTCCATTAGAGCAGCAACATACGTATACATCAGGCTGTAACATTTTAATGTAGTCAGTAAGTAGTAACTTGGGACCAAGCTAGATCCTTATTTTATGATTCCTTCATATTATGTGCATTGCGTGTAAGCTAAAAGATATGTGAGGCCTCAGGAGAGGTCCAAGTACAACAGAGAAAGGCAGGAGCAGGGAACATGCCACTCAAGGTGGCCTTGTTGGAAGGAACCTGGAGAGGGGGAATGGTGTAACAAGAGCAGCAATGCAAGAATGAAGTGGGTTGTTGGGGTTGGTCTGACCTTCAGAGGTTAGGACGAGTAACTGAAATTTGATGGAAACTGCAAAAGGTTGAGTATATATCTGACTTCCCCTCCAAAGCTGGAATCCTAGGGACTCTAGACAGACTCTCTTGAAATTGGTCTGTTGAAGCTGAGAGGAGTTGTGCCTGTTGTGTTGAAACAGTGCATTTTCTAGACACTTAAAATCTGTCTTGTGCTGAAGTAGTCATCTTTGCTGGATAAGATGTTAGCAATTTTCCTCTTACAGAACATCTGCTTTCTGACTGAATCACCGAACAAGCGGCAGGCTTGTTTGAGCCTGCTGTCCTCCCTGTGCTGCTCACTAACTCCTGCCTTGCCGAAGGCTGTGGGCTGGGATTCATCACGGACGTGTCAGGCTTGGGTTCCCTGGTGTCTGCAGGAGTGTCCTCCCTATGGAAAGGACAGTGGTGTAAAAGTAAAATTTACTTTGGCACTTTTGAATGAAATCTTCACGCCTTGTTTTCGAGGATCTAGAATTGAGAGAGCAGAATATCTTAGAGCTACAGGGAAGAAAAAAAAAGGCAGCAAGATTGTGGTGATACTTTTATCTTCCAGGGGTTTTAAAATGACTCATAAATGGGATTCATCTTGTGTAACCTTTAAACACAGAGAGCCGGGAGTGAATTTGGTAAATAATCTGAAAAAAACCCATATAAAGGTAGTTTATCAGCAAAATTACCATGGGGTTTGTTTTCACTGAGAAGGTAGATTTGTTTAATTGCCTGCCAAAGTTTTATGCAAATACTGCAACCCGAAGCACAAGTATTTCTTATTGGTAGATGTTTGCCTTGGAAGCTTGGTGTTTTGTTAACTGCTGGTGCTGAGCTGATTGATTAGAATTGGTAGGTGATGTTAAGTGATTGTCTGATGTTGAAATGTTTCCTTTTTGCTTGCAAGGTAATTTAAGATCAAATTTTTATAAGGCAAACAGTAGGGTTGCCTGTTTCAGATGAGGTAAGTCCTAAAGAACAGGGGCATTTCTAAGAGAGGAGGGCATGGATACATCTGCTTTGTTTTGCTTGTATGCTGTCTGTGTATTGTGCTTTCTCTTCTGGGGAGCACTGAGTCAGTCATGTAAGAGTTAAGGAGTAAAGGCAGACAGAAAAGCAAGGTGTACTTCCAGCCTAAGTGCTTTCCTCAAGGTTGAAGATGCTTTCTGGCACTGCAACAGCAGGAGAAGCGAACAACTCGTGCCCTATACCCACCTGGAACCGTGACAGCAGTGTTTTAATCTTCAGAAGTGAATAGGTTTCTATGGCTAGGTAAAAATTCGCCTGTAAAATGGCTTGATTCTGTAGGTGATAACGTTATCCCTTTAATTAAATAACTGACTTATACTTGACAATTAATTGGAGTGATGTATGATTTCTGTTAGAAACCCATGACTAATTTTTTCTTGCCATTCTTGCTATCTTATTGTTCTTGCCTACCCTCCTCCAAAGTTGCTGTTGCGTGCCAGCCGTGTCCTCCAGGCGCTGGTGCAGACCAGTGTTCACTCTTGCTTAGGCTTTTGCTGGTTCCAAATAAAGCAGTGGTTTTCAGATATTTTCCATGTTGCCTTTCAGAAATTTTCCATTTCATCACAGTTCTGCAATTTTTTTTTGTTTTTAAGACTCTGGGATTTTTTACGTAAACTTTAAAAAAAAACACCCAAACCACCCAAAAAAACCTCCCCAAAAAACCTCACCACCACCACCACAACAAAACCCCCCACTGTGTAGCACAGAGTGTTAGCTTCGTCTAGTACCACATTTCCTACTTCATTAAAATAACTGCCAGGTTAAAAAAATCCTTCCTGCAGTAGTCTCTGTGCTTATAGAGTAATCAGCTAGCAAACTCAGGTGAATTTTATATTTAATTAAAATAGGCAAGATTTAAACTGGATGTGACTGGAGATATCTCTATTAAAATCAGTAGAGCGGCAACACAGAGAACTCGGTTTGCCCCTTACTCACCCTAACTGTAAGGAGCTGAAGCTCAAGCCTTTGTGTTGCATTACAGCAAACTGTGGTATGGACAGTTCTTTACATTTTTCCTACTTGGAAAGCTTTAGTCTTTTTATAGGCAGTTTGTTTCCATGGGTGAATTTAGGCATGGATGAGTGAGGAACAATGCATTGTTTCTTAAAGCGAACTTTTTTGAAGGGAGTGGGCTTAAAAGGAAGGAAGTGAGGTTTAGGTTTAAGTTTCTTTTGAAATTTCTTCCTCTTATTTTCCTCATCCCCCCCAAAAACACAAAACAAAAATTGAAACAATTAGAAGTCCCCAAACTGATGTTTCACCATATGTATCTTTAAAATGTTCGGTATGAGCTGGAAAGCCAGAGAGCAAAATTGTCAGTTTAAAAACCATTATCTTGATTATCCTTCCCTTTCCTCGCTGGATTGTTCTTCCTCAAGAACATGCAGCTTTTGTTTCAGCTTTGCTAGTTCATATGTTTGGCAGGGTTTTATCTAGCCTGTGTCCCTGGTGTGTGTGTAAAGTAATGTAAGCTTCAATTTAGCCGTGCGCTCAGACATTTTGCTGAGTCAGGTCCTTACCTTCTTGGATCCCTGGGCTGATCATTCACAGGGTGGCTCTGGAAGGAAGAACCTGAAGGGGGGTGTGTGTGTGTGTGAAGATAGCAGGGGGAACGTAAGGCTGGAATACAATTTAATTTTTAATTGGCTAGATCTATAATGGACAGTTGGCTGGAAATTTCTGTTTCTCTTCCTTTCATTAGAGGTCCTCTGTCAGACAGCTTCTACGTGACAAGTTTCCTTGCTGCTGGGCTGAGAGTGCCTGATGCTGGCTATCATGGCTGATCCCGTAGCAGAAGAACGCGTGTCGCAAGTTAGTGAACTCTGCTGTGAATGTGGTCAGATCCATCTCTTGCTGGACAATCATCTCTACAACTTTCAGGAAGAAGTGGATGATGAACTCATCTGCCACATCTGCCTTCAGCCTCTGCTCCAACCCATGGACACCCCCTGTGGACATACGTACTGTTTCAAGTGCCTTGAAAACTTCATGCAGGAGTATAACTTTTGTCCTATGGATCGGAAAAAGCTCTCTTTCCAGCAGTGCCACAAGTCCAGCCTTCTAGTACGAAACCTGTTGGATAAGCTGATTGTCTTCTGTCCTTTCAAGGCAGAGTGCCAGCAGACAATGCAGCGGTGTGAACTAGAAGCTCATCTGCAGAACAGGTGCATTGCCATTTACATTATATTATTACTCCTTGTGTAATACCATCAGTCTGTTGTGCCTCTGACCAGAAAGATCCGTTCTCAGAACAGTTCTTAAACTGGGGCAAGACAGGACACCAGAGATGACAGAGGGTGAGGCCAGAAAGGTGGGTGGGTGAAGACAGCGTAATTGTGCGTGTGTGTGTTGGGGAGGCCAGCTCACATCTGCTACAGAGGCGAAGGGTGAGGTGCTTGCATGCAAGTTGTCTGCAGATACACAACCTATCAAATGTAGATAAATTTGAGTGTCCTGATCTAGGGCACCTGACTGAAATTATTATAAACATGCTTATTCTTGCTTCACTTGAGCAGAGAAGAAAGGCACAAACTCAACACTCTGGAAGCAAGGGATTGTGCAGTGTTGCCAGTTTAATTGGTCCAATTAAGATGTGCAATACATAAGTCTTTGATCCAAATAATGTAAGTCCCTCCAAGCTGCACATTATGCAGTTGCTGAATCACCTACTTATAATTCCATTATCTTCCCTCATTCTTTTGCCGAGAAAGAGAAGCAAATGAAAAATACTGTATTTTTCTTTTTTCCCCCTTGTGCAGAGGAACAGAGACTTTTATTTTCTTGCGCTTGTTAGCAGAGATGTGTTTTGTTGCTTTCACTGTTGGTTGAGCTGGTGGCAGGCAGAATGTTGTAGCTTTAAAAGAAGTGCAGGTGACAAAGAGCTCTTGCTGTGGTGTTTGGAGAATGCTTCCTACCTAGCTAATGACTTCAGGAAAGGGAGCTAAGTAGATTTCACCTGGGCTGCTGCAGGCGGAAGCAGACCTTCATTGGCATTGTGGAGTCAGTGGGTGATGAGAAATGCAACAGGCTTGTTTGCGTTCAGCGATGTTGTGGCTTTTTGTGGCAACGACATGTTTACAGATAGGTCAACCAGTGTGCAGGGGACAGTTACACTTAGGGTACCTTTGCAGTGTCAGCCAAGGATGTATACTTGCTGTTCTTGCTTGTCTTTGGTACCCATGAGCTCAGAGCTTGTGTTAAACCCAGGGGAAGTGATGGAAGATGCTCGTGTGCTCCTTTCCCTCCATCTGTGAAAGCTTATCACCTCCTTTTTCTTCCACTAACTTTGTACTGCGTTCTTGTTATCAGGCAGGGCTGAATGCTTAGACTGCAGGGACAGGGCTGCCCAGCTGTGCATGTGTTGTGTCGCTGGGGCCGTGGACCGTACCAGGGCTGGGCCTTCCTCTCTGCTCTGTAAATCTACCCTGGTATCAGTAAACTTCTGTCACTTGCTAATCCCTTTGGCACAGGAATTAAATGTGGGAGGGGGAGGCACCCTTAAATGTTTGTACTAGAGACCTGTCTGGAAACTGTATCATTCTCTTATACATTTCATAGTTCTTTGTATCTTCCTTGGGGAGGGTGTGTTCTAAAAATGGAGGCTATTTCACTTGGGCTGTGAGCACAGACTGACAAATAAAAAAAGAAAGAAAAAAAAAGAAAAAAATTACACTGGCATTTGGGTGTTCCTGTTTTTTAGTTTTAAGCGAGATTAACTGATAGCAGGAGACTTAAGGAAAGAAGAAGCATCTAGCAACTTTTTTTCATGAGGGATTTCTCTGCCCTTTGCAAAATGAGTTTGTTTCTCAGCATGTTAAGAGGGACATGTGCGTAAGTGGATCAATCAGCTTCTGTCTTTAAGTTTCAGGGTCATCACACTGCTTGGAGAATAAATAACTAGGAATAAGTCAGAGGAAGTAATACCGGGATGAGACTTGTTTAGCCAGAATGTAAATAGTTGAGTTTAATTTGAAAAGTGACTCTGGTAAACACCCAATGCTACTCATGTCTCTGAAAGTGATGCTTTTGCATTCATCACGCTCCTCACCTGCCACCTTTTTTATAAGTACTCTTGGTAAAAGAGCTTGTTTTTCCTCACTCATTTTTGCTGAGATAGGCTGGCCGTGGTGCGGCTGCATGCAGAGCGCGTTTTGTTGAATGTAGAATTACTTCTTGAACCTCCGTGTGGGGAGCAGTCAGTGGGATTATAAACTCATTTGAATTGCTCCCATTCAAAGAGAGCCATCACCTGGGTGGACTGCAGGTGGAGTCCAGAATAAGTAGGCAAGCCTCACTTGCTGCTCTTGCATCTTACCGGTTTGTTACAAACAAAGCCTAATTCACGGCTGAGCTTGAAACTTGAGCCGCTTCCTTTGCATAAAGATACAGCCCGAAGTCATCTCTAAAAGGTCAGTGCTAAGTATTTGCTTATATTTTAAGAGCTATTGTTTTCTTCATCAAGTGCTTGCCAGGTAAATATTTAGCAAGGGACACTCCCATTTCTATTACAGTCTTCTTTTTAAAATAATGTGCTTAATAATTTTTAAAGTAATAAAAGAACAAGCCTGCTCTTAAGTTGACACTAGTACAAGTAGAAGCTGAAGGTCAAATGAGAATAAATTTTAGAATCTGTGATACATCTGCAGCTGATGAGATCTTGAACGTGCTTCTTTGCATACCTTAGTCAGTCAGAGCTTGCATGTGCTAGGTTAACCACCCAGGCGAAGACTAGCCACTTACAGTCACTGACAATCTCTCCCTAGGTGTCCTGGTTTCAAGAAATACAAATCTGAGCTGCAGCGGAAAAAGAATCCCATTTCTAAAGGGAAGGAAGATCCCCCTACCAAGGTGGAGACAAACACACCTAAGGATCCAGAGGCACCAAGCGGAGGATCATCACTTGTGGCAGAAAGCTCTGCAGCTGCTGTGGTATCGCTAGGGACTGCAGAGCCTGGACTGGTTAATCCAGCTTTTGAGGAGGCTGAAGAAGGTGGGAGTTTGATACAGAAATGTAATTATGTAATTACCTTTTATAATATAAAAATGAGGTAATCATCTAAGACAATTGAATTTTTAAAGCGTTCCCAACATTCTTAGATATCCTCAATGCTGTTCAGCGACTAGTAGCCATTGGAGTAATCTCGTTCCTCAGCTTGTCCTGCAGCAGAAGGGAGATGCATTCATGTGCATCAGGTGTGGCAGGATCTGCTCACAAACACAAAACTGTCTGTGCAAAACTATTCCGAGACTCTCTTAGACTGCAGTGAAGATTTGCAGTATTCTTTGCGGAAACAAAGGTAGTCCCTCTCAAAGTGAACGTGGAGCACTTAAAGCACTTGCAGAAGCCAAATAATTAGTAATTGGGAAATGTTCCACCTTCTTAGTCTTGTTAAGAAAGTTAAATATACAGTCAGTTTACTGGAGTCGTCTGGACTTCCCTAATGGTATGCAGCAAGTGTGTTTTTTATAGCATAACATAAGTTTTGGGATTAATAGTCAGTTATGAAACTCTTGCAGATAAAAGTAACCATCTCCACTTGAGTATAGAACCGCTTGTCTCAACCCCTGTTAGAAGGCAGCAGCGTGGACATCTCTGTGCCTTGTTTCAAAGTTAGTCTCAGTTTCCAAGTGCGCAGGCGCTGGAGCTGGCAACTGCTGTGCCTGTGCCTGAGTTAATACACAGGTCAGTTTACTTCTCTGTTGGCTTCTTCCCCAGTTACACTTGGGGCAGGTTTTACATCTCTTGTGTGACAACTGCAGTTTGCCCTGACGGGCAGTGCGCTTGGCTTCATTAGCGCGTTGGGCCTGCTTAAATGTTGCAGTCCTGGTAGATTTAGTACGACTTGCTAACAACAACTTTCATCTTCAAAGTGTCTGAGAAACATTGCTTAGTCTTCAGTATGCTGCAAATAGGTAAACATTACTCCTCTTTTACAGGGGGGATGGGAAAAGAGGCAGAAAGGAAATGAGAGGTGGGAAGTTGCCATGAGCTGCCTCTGGTAAAGTCATCACAACGGCAGACCAGTAATTAAAGCTCAGTAGTCCCCTTCTCTAATGGGCATCATGGAAATTGGCATTTGTTATGTGTGTGCTTCTAGCAGGCCAGCTGTCACAGTAGAAAAATTAATCTCTAAATGGTAAGTGAAACATACTGAATGCCCTTTAATACAACTCAAGAACTAATAATGAGTTTAAATTTGCCATAAGATGGGAGAAGGTGGGAAACACTCTGGAGAAACTGTAAAGAAACGGGCTTTTTAAGTGTTTAGTCTGACCTGTTATTCCCTCTCCTGACAGCTACTTTCCCACCAGATGCTACTTCGGACACAGCATGCCAGTGTTACGAATCTTGTGGTGCTGTGTGAAGGAATATTCTATTAATGTGTTGTTTTTTCTCTTCAATTTCCACAATCAGACCTTCCTCAGAGATCTAGTCTTGTGGCTGAAACAACCACCATTGAAATTCACCGAGAAGACTCGGAGGAAGAGCTGGGGATGAGGATAGTTGGGGGCAAAGACACCCCACTAGGAAACATTGTTGTCCAGGAAGTCTTGCGGGATTCTGTCATTGCTGCAGATGGAAGAATAGCACCTGGGGACCATATTCTTGAGGTATGTAAAACCCCACTGGTAGTCCCATTGCTTCTCTTGACTTGAGATGAGGGCTGGAGGAGGAGAGTTGCCTAGAAAAACTTGGAAATCTCTACAGCTGTGGGTTTAAAAGCACTGATCTGACTTGTGTGTCCGTAGCATTGTGTATCTGTTGGGGCTGGGAAGTAGACTTCTGAGGTTCCTCCCCATCATACTTATATTTACCTTGTGTATTTGGTAGCTTTTTTGAAATTTAGACCATTTTAGATAAATTAAAAAGATTTCTGTCCGATAAATTTCACCAGGAGCACCATTTCTCTCCAAAGGACTGTGCTCTAGTTAGGAAGTTTTATAATTGCTTGCTCTACCATGTTGCTTAAGCTGCATATTCTCAATGGGCAGGTCCAAAGTTTAAGACCTTATGACTTCAAGTAAGCATCAGATACTTCGAGTGAGTAATAAAGAGCACCAACCTCATACTGTGCTGACCCACGGCCAGATTTAGTTTCCAGACTAATCACGCTGCATGGCAGTGGGCTGGTCAAGGCGACGGAAGCTTGTATGCAGCAGTAAAGCCTACATGCAGCAAGAACTGTTAGCACCTCCTGGCTATGGCTGCCCGGTGATTTGACAAGCTATAAAGACCTAATTATCCTGTTGGACTGTGGACTTGAGTACAGACTGGCAGCCCTGCATGCACAAGTGGCCAATATGATCTCTGAGTTGGTGTCTTAGAGTAACTTCTGTTTTATCCAGCTGAACTGTACATGTCTCAGCCTTGACTAGGTTGTAAACAGGGCAGGTCCCCACACTTAGGAGCCCTATTAACATCCTGAAAGAAGACTGCACAGTCTTATGTGACAACAGACAAAGTGAAAAGTAGCTTCTCAGAGTTACCTTGGTAAAAGCATGGTTAGACTGATGATTCCAGAAGCTTCTAGACTATGGACCACTCCTCAACTTAAAAGTGAGGATGGGTAGTCTTCAATTTGAGTCTTCTCCTCCAAGTGTGTATTGAATGCTGGAAGTTAAGGGAAAGCAGTTCTGCATTGCCGTGGGATGGATGCAATGATTCAATATTTTGCAGTTTCAGATTTGTTAGTTACGTGAGTTGTCCTGTCTTGTCCCTGTCCTCAGCTATTTACCATCAATTATGGTCTAATTTCACCTGCTCTCTGCATTCTTTCTTAGACAACCCTGCTCTCTAATGTGCATCAGAAGCAGCTGCTTCAGTCGCAGCGTTGCACAGGGACTTGTACATCCTGTCTCCAACTTTGTGATGTTCTGCGCTGTGGACAGTGCCTAAATTATGTAGGTTCTGATTAGTGACTCTGGTTTGTTTGTCTTTCTAGGTGAATGGCGTCAACATCAGCAGTGTGACTCACTGTCAAGCCGTCTCCTTCCTGCGCCACCCAGGTCCTGTTCTCCACCTCATGGTCCTGCAGGAGAAGGGCTTTTCCAACAAGACTGCACAGCAGGATTCCACTTCTGCTACAAATCGGGAAGTGATCCACGTTACCTTGATAAAGAGAGACCGATCTGAACCCTTGGGAATCAAACTGATCAGGAAGACCGATGAGGCAGGGATTTTTATTCTAGATCTCTTAGAGGGAGGCTTGGCAGCCAAAAATGGAAAACTGAGTCGGAATGACAGAGTTCTGTCAATAAATGGCCAGGATTTGAGGCAAGGAACACCTGAGGCTGCTGCGCAGATAATTCAGGTAATTTATGACATGGTGAGGTTGTATGGCTAATGATCCGCAGCCGTCTGCGTTGATGGCAGGGCTCCTGTTCTGACCCAGGGGCTAACAGAACACACTAGAGCAAACTGCATTCCCTGAAATAATCTCTTTGGGAAAGTGACCTCCCTGTGGATGTGTGGGAAGCACCGCTTCCAAATGAAGATAAACACGAAGAGTGGGAATCCATTGTGAGTCATCTCTGACGAGTCTGAAGCGAGGCAGTCGCTCATGGCTCGTTAGGTCAGCTAAGGCAATTGGATCTCCTTTGTGGTGTGGTGTTTGAGGCTGTCCTGCAGAGTGAATATTTGTATGCACTGTGTGGATGCATGCAGCAGAGACAGGAAGAGAGCAGGACAGCCTCTTGTGCTTCAGACAGTCAGACCGAAGGGTTTTGCTAGGGGTGTGGTAAGCTGGCAGGATGAAACAGAACCCTTTTGACTGATTTGAAGCCCTATCTCCCCATTTTACCTATATTTGGGAAGGGCCTCTCAACATATGAGGCACCTCAGGCTAAAAACATTCTGAAATACTAAATGGGTAGAAGAGGGGTGGTCTTTCCCTGTGCAACAGGAATGCGCTCCTGTTGCAAAATGCCAAATGTTTTGGTGAAAGGAGTGGGCAAGGAATTTTGGTTAAGGATTAAGGATTGCTACGTGTGCAGTAGCTATCACGTAGATCGGTTTAAATTGTTTATCTCCCTAGGCGATGACCTCCAGTTTCTGTTTTTATCTAAAGATCCTGACACAATACATCTCATCACGTACTGTTTATATCCCAGAAAGGATCTGAGGTCAGCCGAGTGAGGGAGAGCCAGTTCTCTTCCTGGTAATCAGCAGAGGAGTGCAGTGACATGGGACGAAAGAAGAGCAGAGTTCCAGTACTGAGATCCTTTTTTATGTTACATATGTGAATCCATTCTGTGGCCCCTTAGAATTTTGTTTCCATCACTCAAGTGCTGCTGTATTTCTGTTGTAATGTGCAAACATAACTCCCACATGAGGAACTCTTTCTTGGTCCCACTGAAATCAGCGACCAAAGTCACAGAACCAGCTTCAGTAGGTTTGGGCATTGAATTCCTTTTGAAGTGATATTTGTGTAAAACTGTGACAGTCTTCCAAACATTAGCTGTTCTTCTGAGGGCTAATTCCAGTTCTTGATTAAATGTCATTTTAATTCTGATTACAAACCATTTGCAGAAAAGAGTCCTTCTCCCTGTAAAGTACTTTTTAAATCTATATATATATATATATATATATATCCACAGCCAGATGTGCTGTACATAGTCTGGTACTCCTGGTTGAAGGGGAGGGCAAATCCCCATCTTAAGACACGATGTTCACAATACGTTTTATGAAGACATGGATGTGTGCCAACTTGTCTGGAAAAAAAATGCTCTATCTGCAGCAGCTTTGGAGGCTTTTAAATTCCGTTTCAGAAAACAGAACTCTCCTGTACTTGTTTAAAAAGAAAAAAAACCAACAAACCAGTTGTTGCAGTCCTTCTGAGGCCAGGGAGTTCACTGCTGCTGGGGTGCTGTGGCACCAGGGGAACAGGGCCCCATGTCAGGAAGCGAGAGTGGCAACCGTACTTCTCTCATCCGTTGCAGCAAGTAAGCACATACACCTTACCCCGATGGAGCCCTTCACAATAAGGTTTTGTCAAATTATCTGAAAGAACAAACCAAATTAGAAGAGCAGTAACAATAGTGAATACTTTCCCTGTAGTTCTGCCAAGGCCAGACACACAGCTGGTTAAGTGTTTAATTGGCAGCAATCTTAGACAAAAGGTCATGTCTTCAGGTACTCTGGGAAAAAAATGGGTGGGAGATGTTGAACAATAGACATGGTACATAAGCTGGGAGAGAAAGAGCTTTAATGAGTTTCTTTACAATAAAAGAAAAAGCATCCAGTACTCATATCACGGTCATCCATCGTGTGGACCAGTCAGTGTTCTAGCTCTGTTCGTTTTGTATCACAACACAATATGCTATTTTGGATATTTGTACTGAAATGGAGGAATTAATCATCCGTTTCCACTTTTCCTTGACGTTTGTGGAGGAGGGAGGCATAAGTGAAACCTGCCTCTGCTCCTGTTCCTTCTGACTAACACTTGCTAATTCCTTTTTTCTTTTCACAAAAAAACACTGCATCACATTGCACAGCCCTGTTTCAGACCCTTTGTAGAAACCAATGCGAACCCTTCCCTCTCCCCAAGAAAATGACAGGGACTGTCCCTCATTTCTAATTTATTTTTCTATTTTATTTACGCTCTTTTTGTTTTTTTCTCCTGGCAGACCACTGAATCAAGAGTGAACTTTGTCGTCCTGAGGCAGCCAGGCGTACAGCTGTCGGACCCAGTAGAAGACAGCAGCACATCAAATAGCAGCAGCAGCAGCAATGGAGGAAGCCCGGTGCACCATCGGAGACGACTAGACCAGAATCACTATAGAAGAAAATCTAACTACCAGAAGGTAAGTGCTTGGGACTTGCTTCTCGACATCCATCAAGCAGAACACCTTCAGGGTATTGCACAACGACCCTAAGTTATGCTTCTGGTTTGGAGCTAGAGGGCTTTCTGGTACAGACGTAGAAACTACACAAATAGCACTGTAGTGCTCCTGTCACTTCAGTGTTGCGTCGGCCATTTGTTTGCATATTATAAGAAACAGTGTGAGCAAGAGGAGAATCACCGGTCTGTTGTACCAAGAGAGCTCTTCTCTATGTTTAGCACTTCTATTGGAGTGAGAAAACTTGCTAAAACTGTTTAGATTTCTGTGTTTAAATGTCTTCGGAGTTTAGAAAGTAGCTGTCATAAATGGCAATGCCTTTGGTTAAATTCTAGAATACTATTTACATATTGTTTCTACAGCATACGCTGTAATGTGTGGTTTCACTGCAACCTAAACATTTGGTAGTAGTCAGAGAGAGGTTGATTGCTTCATATGAATGGCCTTCAAATTAGTTCATAGCGTGTTCCTCACTGCAAAATTGTCCTTCTGAGTGAGCACCTCTCTACAGCAAATGAATGTGGGATGATTAGGAGAGTAGTGCCTCAGTTGTGGTGGTATCACTTTGGAAATACAGGATGGTATTTCTACCCAGAGCAAGTAAGTGAGAAGCTGACTTTGCCATCCAGCAACATTGCTGACAGGTTCTGGATTAAAAATACAAGGCATGTTATTTTCTTCCAGACCTGGGCTTCTCGTGTTAATAACGCTGCATTTTGTACTGTGATTCCTTTGTAGGATTTACCTCAGGGATACGTAAGCCACGAAAAGACAGTTGCAATAAAAAAGGAACCAAAGGAATCTTTAGGAATAACAATTGGAGGTGGAAGGGACAATAAAAACAAGCTGCCTATATATGTAACGAGTGTGCAGCCCATCGGATGCCTCTTCAGGGATGGCAGAATCAAGCGAGGTAAGGAGGCTCTTGGACTCTTTATCCTTTAGGAACTAGTTGGGGTTTTTTTCAGTGAAAATTGCACTTGGACCCTAAAGTGAGGCTGGAAAGGGGGTTCCACCTGAGACCTTGAGGCAGAAAGGGGCTTCATAGAAAAAGGTCTGTAAGAATCCTATCTAATCAACAGGAGATGTGCTTTTGAGTATAAATGGCATTGATCTGACTCATCTGAACTACTATGAAGCTGTCTCAGCACTGAAATCAAATGCAGCTTCCCACTCAGTCGTCCTGAAAGCCTTGGAAATCATTTCACTGAACTCGACAGAGCCATCTCTGGACATCAAGGAGCAAGGCTTCAGCTGGTCTCCCCTCTGGATCACGTGGCTCGGATTGCCTAGGTACGTTTGTTCGGTGGCAGTATAAAGATCTGTTCAATCACAGAGCTGACCTTCGCTCAAACACTAGAAATTAATTGCTTGCTTGGTTGACTTGGAAGCATTACTGGTATTCTCATTTAGCTCTAAGGCGGTGGAAAGCCTTATTTGCCAATGAGATGGCAGTATAATGAATGCTTAAGAAACTTCCGCTGCTTTTTATGGTGTGACCCATCGTTTCCCCACTTCTGCTGGACAGTAACCATATTTCAGAAGTTCCTGAAAACCTTTTTTGTCTAAGAGAACTGACACAGAAAATGAGAAATATAGATTCTGGCATTTAAGGCACTGAGATGACATACAGTCAATGTGGATACAGTCCCTGCTAAAATGTCATTAACTGAAATCACTCTGTGGCTCTTTCTGGATCACATGATGGAAGCCAACAGCTACCTGTGCTATTTGATAGTTTCTAATCTGATCATCTCTGTTAGGGGCAGGCATTTATTCAGTCTTAATTCTTTTTGGCTGTCGTAATTGTGTTGTCTTTAGCATGAAGCAGAAATGATTCTGAATAGTTGAGTTTTCCTGCTGCAAAGCTTTGGACCATAGACTTAGCACAGATTTTAGCAGCAATGTGATACTTTCCAGGTGATGGGGTTGGGGCTTTGAAAGTTTGAATTTCTATCTCCTTCCTGGAGAGGTGAACCTCTGGTTTGTTCACTTTTGCACTTTACTCAAAATACATTCAGCTGTGAAAGGCAGAGTCTCTTGTCATTCCGGCTGACTGGAGGAGGATTGTGCAGGAGATGCACTTGGAACAGTAAAGCCAAACCCTTCTGTGGGAAGCTCAGATTCTTTACAGCCTTGTTTCTTGAGGCACCTGAAAGAAGAAATACTAACAAAGCCTCTGTTATGTTACCTTTGTGTTCCTTAGCAGCCTGTAAATGTTAAACAAAACAGCCCAAGGAAGGTAGCTTTTGTGTCTCGAGCGACTGTGACTTGGCTTGCACTCAGCACTGTCCTACCAGTTTCCTCCGCGCTCCCAGGCAATCAGCTTGTCTGTTCTGTGCAGGCTTGGTATGAACTAGCCTGAGCTGCACCTGGATAGCCCAAACCCCAGCGCAGACCCTCAGATGCTGGCTGGTTGCCCATGGGTGCTCCTGCAGTGAATTATGGCAAGGCAAAACCCAGCTGTACTTTCTCCCTTCTTGCTTTTCCAATTTATTGGGATATCTGGTGGCTTGCAGCTTCACCATATAGGGACTGGCGACCACTCCTTACTCATCAGTCACCTGCCTTTATTTCAAGAGTATACTGACATTACCTGTCATTTAATAAATCACTTGAAATTCTTTTTCTGCTGGTATTAATGTTGCCTTTCATTTGACTGTTACTGTACCTTGCTACTGAAGCAAGGAGCATTGATTTCAGATGCCCTTTTTGCTCTTAAGTCTTCCTTTCTTACTCTGACCTGAATTTGGGCATCTGAATTTGCTGTTCTTCTGTGGGTGTGAGAGTGGTTAGGAGGCACCAAAGCAAGGCTATTTCATTTCAGGATCTGACAAAATCTTCCTTCTTGTTTCCAGTAATAAAAATGGCTGTAATTCTTGTGCTTCCTTGCTCATTTTCCCATCTGCTCACAGTAAGACCTGGTAGCAACTAGCTGGTCATCCACAGAATGAATGATTTCCCTAAAGCCACTAAGAATCTGCCTTTCTCAGCTAAGCAAGGTATTTCTGTTTGACACTGTGACTGGCATAGTCGGATTATTTTTAATTATTGCTTGAGAACCTGTGAACTGAAATGGCATCCTTGTTTGTCACCTGGAAATGTTCAGGATGCCTCTATGCTGGCATTTTAGTTTGGCTCAGGAATGTGCAGTTGAAGCGAGGATCCCAGTTATCCTCACTTGCTGTATTTTGGTTCACCCACACAAACTGGCTTCCTTTGGATGGGACTAAACCAGAAGTGCTGCAGAGGAATGCCCACCGCGCTCCGGCACAAGCAGACTCCATGCGTACCACTCTAACACTAGATTACAGAAAATCCCCTGAAGTGTCCCAAAACTAGACCTTGGGTCCTCAGCACCAGTTGTTGCACTCGGATCTGTTCCTTCTGGGCTGCCCTGCTGAAGAGGACATAGCCTCAGTATGCTAAAACATCCTGCAGTACAGCGTGAAAGTTTAAAGCGTATTGCTGATGGCATGTATGATTTTGGTTTTGTTTAGCTTTTTTTTTTCCAGTTACTACTCTGATCCAGCAGAAATATCCTTTCCTCCTTAGAGGAAACCCATGTATTTCTTTCTAGTTTGAAGCCAAACTTTATGCTGAAAGGCTGGAGTTGAAATTAGTGCTGAAGGCTAGGGAAGTGTATTCAGTCGTTACAATGCTTGATCCCATGGTGTTTAACTCTAGCCTTGATTCTTGTATCTGTGGTCTTCTCTTTATGTCAAATACCGTCTGTCATCTCGGCTCACTGAGTGACGCACCGTTTCTGAAACGTGGAGCCCCATCCTGCAGAACTTGGGCTAGGTGCCAGGCTACTGCTGCAGAAGGGTTTTAGGAGAGACAACAGCCCTGGTCCTCTGCCTTTCTTGGGACGCTGGGTAACAGAGGGAATAACATTAGCATCTTGGTCATCACTGTATATTGTCACAGAAGACAGCATAGGAACTTGACTTGATTTCTTCATTGCAGTATGTTAAATCAATACCAGCTACTGGTAGTACAAAATAGCACCTCAAAATGCTGGTTTGAAGGGGGGATTGTGTCCTAATTCATTGCACACTGAATCCTAAAGATACTAGAAATACCAAGTTTACAGATTGACTTCTCCTTTCTCTGTAAAAGCTTTGACTCTTGATAACGCTAACCATGCGCAGTGTGGCTTATGGATAATTCGCAGGGGTGGAAAAGCAGTTTTCCTCCTGCCTTCTTCCTTCAGGTTTATCTGGAGCCAGTCTCCAGGGAGTCTGAGCTCTTTCTGCAGCAACGGTTAGGTGCTCCCTGCCATGGCCCTGCCGGAGTGGCACACTCCACAAACTGGGAAAGGGACGCAGAACTGCCAACTCAGCAGGGTGTTCCTCAGAATAAAACTTGCACCTTTACTTTCTGTGAAGTCTAAAATTCTTTTCCCACAGTCATTTTCCATGAGACTAAATTAATGTTTCTCTTCCTAAAAACACTTTTTCATATGGAAGACTGATTTCTAACAAACAGCCTTTTCCAATTCTTGGAGAATGTGTTGAATGTTTTTATTTATGTTCTGTGCTGATGTAGTGCATATCACTCTTGCTCTCTGGGCTATTTATTTGCACTAGATGTCATACGCATTTCTCATAGCTCTGTTTTCACATTTGTGTGGTACCAGTAGCGGAAAACCATGGAGGCATCAGTAAGCTAGAGCTGGGTCTTCTGTGTGAAGAACTCCTACAACAGTAAATTACAGTTTGAAAGGAGATAATTGGATCTTTCTCCTAGTGAGAAGTTAACTGAGAAGGCTTTTGAAATCTGAAACTCATCTACAAACTGCTCAAGCAAAGCCCTTGAGGCGAAAACGTTTATTAGGAAAAGTTTAGCTGCTGGAATACCTCAGCGGGGCGATCAGCAGCAGTTTCACACGGCGCAGCTCTGGCAGCGCCTCGGTGCCAGAAGGTAACCTGACTACGAGCCAGAGTACACGAGCTGCTTGCCGGCGCTCCTGCCACACCTTTTCAGACACCTCACAAAGGCTTTGCATATCTCTGTGCTACACACTCAAGGAGCAAGTGCTGTTGGCACTTCCATAGCGCATCTCCAAGGCAGCCCTAGCACTGCAGCATACCCCAGGCTTACTGAGAAGATGTACCTCAGCGCCTGGCATTCACACACTGTGCCCTGCGACCTCTCTCCAAGGAGTCCGATACCTTAACTGTACACAGCATGCTCAGTCCTGGGTGTCCGATACCTTAACTGTACACAGCAGTCCTGGGTGTAGGCCCTGCAGGAAAGACCCTTCTGATTTGGTAGGTGGTTAGGCTGCCATACCTCACGTTTGCTTTCCGTCGGTGACACATAGCTGCTGAATGCCTTCATTGTACCAAGTGTGCAGTATACAGATGGAATAAAAAAAGCTCGATTCATATTAATTGCATGGGTGTAACTGCTGTTCATGATTAATTTGGTTTTGTCACTAATAGTGTGCATGTTCATTAGTAGAATTCATGAAGTTATTCACGAATCTTTCAGGTCACATAGGCCCTTAGAGCATGGCAGCTTTCTGTTAACTCTTAAACTAGCACTGACAGCACTGAGAATAAGTTTTCTAAAGGACTGGCATCTTCAGATTTGGGGATTATCCCGGTAACAAGCCCTGCAAAGGGTTGCCTCAAGGCCTTAAAAAAAAGAAAATAAATACGAGGCTGTTACATAGCTGTGCTTTCTGTGAGGGAAAACATAATTTTCTGGTTAGGCAGTTTTCCTTGAACACAGTCATAAGCTTTCTCTGGTTTTGACCATGCCTGTCTTCACAGCTACCTTCACTGCTGTCAAGATATCGTCCTCAGTAAAGGCAACCTGGAAAGCTGGGGCTTCAGCATTGTTGGAGGCTTTGAGGAAAGCAAGGGAAACCAACCGTTCTTCATCAAAACCATAGTGCCTGGGACTCCCGCCTTCCGAGACAGGAAACTGAAGTACGTATGAGCTGCCCTGCGGGTCTCTGGTGTTAGTGCCAGAAACACTATCAGTACTTAAATCAGCGTGTGCTGTTTTACTGAGGGGCTGTCTTTTATCCTTTTAACTACCCGAGCTAAAAGTTAATGACTTCAATTCTTAGACACTCATTTGTGCAGTTAACACTGTTACCAAAGTTGTAACAAACTATATTAATGAGTGTTTTGGTTTCTCTATAAAGGTGCAACTAAAAGGAATTAACAGTTGCATTTTAAAAGGCTGTTAAAGATTTTAATTGAGTAATCAGATAAAAGTAGAATGGGCACGTTGGAGATGAATCTTGGAGGTTCCAGAGTATAAAATCTCCTGGATTAGGAAAAATATCCCAACGGAAGCAAAAAAAGCCCTCCTGTGCAGGAAACTTAAACGAGCTCTGCTGACCTGTTTGTTAGTAATCGCAGCGAGTGGAGGAGTGAATAGTGGAGCTGGAGGACTGCACAGAACTTCCTTGCAGCGTTATCTCAGGGAACCAACAGAGCTGCCTTCTCAGCAAGCAGGCAGCAAGCGCAGGACTGTGGAAAATAAAAGTGAGGCTGCTGTCTTGCAGGGGATGTAGTTTCAGTGTAGGGAGCTGGGCTTTGCTCCCCTAAAGACTGGAAGAAGAGAGGACTGGGGTCAGCTGGGCTCCCATTTGCGTACTAGGACAGCGATGTGCTTTCCCCATCAGACACGAGGAAGGTAGCTGGCTGGCTACAGCCCCTCACCTCATCACAGCTGAACGGTACAACCGCTCCGAAGACAGCTTGGTGTGCCACAGAGGTGAAACCTCTATTGTCCTGAGCTACTACATGACAGCATGCCTCAGCGTTGTAAGCACTTCACCATAGCGACTGCTCGGCAAGTAGCTGTAGGAGCGACCTTGGTAATAAGAGTGTTTATCAGCACAAATTTGTTTTCTCTAACTTCTCCCGCTGCTGACTGGCCTGCTGGTGACCTTCACTGCTGTGGCACTCAAGTACCAGCAGCGTCCTCCTCCTCCCCCCTTGTCCTCTTTGCCTCGGAAGCAAGCCTCTGACTGCAGCCACTCGCTCTGCTTGCATCCATTCCTTGCCCCTAATCTTTCATCTAGTGAAAAAGTTGCTTCAACAAAGAGTTGATGCTCTTGGCTCAGGGTCGGCTAGATGACCGTGGGGGTCCTAGGGTGCGGCATTAACAAAAATAAGTCCTGACAAGCATGTTTCCTGTCTTCTGATTAGGTGTGGAGATGAAATAGTGGCAGTAAATGGCGTGCCAGCGATAGGAATGAGCAACTCGGAACTAATCCCAATGCTGAAGGAACAAAGGAACAAAGTCACGCTTACTGTGGTGTCCTGGCCGGGAAGCCTCGTGTGAAAGCTCCAACAAAGCAGACAGTGGTTGCAGGTATCAGATATCAGTTGGCCATCGCACAAAGCTAAACACGTGACAGAGAAAACCAAGGGAATTCTCAACTCCTGCTACACAGTGTATTGCCATGGAAGGCTTTTGGCTTCCTTTTCACAGAAGATACTTCTTTACTCTGCTGAGGTCCAAACAGTTGTTGGAGCTTCCTGGGCTCGTTAAAGCTCTGTAGAATTGGTGTTGCAGAGAAAGCTCTTTTTCCAGTGTTTCTCTACAAATTGCCTTTGAGGCGCTTTCCTCAATTTTAGAGCTCTGCTTTCTGTTTAGTATTTTGAACAGGTTAAAACAGGCGTGACTGTCTGATTTCCCCTGCGAGTTAATACCGTTCTGCCACTGCTCTGACTGCCATTCTTGGACACTGAGTCATTTATATGTGCCTTTTAAAGCCACTAATAAAACTATAAGGATGTGGACCCAATTAAGCAGTTCCGATAGCCCCCAGTCTTGAAATTTTTAGGTTACTGAAACCTAATGAATGTGTTTATACATTAGAAAACCAATTGTAATGCTCAGCTGACAGCTGAAGAGCTGCTAGGTTAGCGTGGTGGAGCTGCATTGACTTGTGTGAAGGCCCTGTCACCAGGCAGCTGTTGCAAATGCTGATTTAGGATCCTGCCAACTATGCCAATGAATCACGAATGGGCAATTTAGACTGCTTAAAGCACCACTGTCAAAGGTATCAGCAAGAGCTGTTTCACTGAAACATGATGTCGTAAAAGTGCAACTCTTGCAACCTTGTTGGATGGTAAGATTCACTCTTACTTACCGTGCAAGGGATGTAAAAGCAATCCAAAACTATCAAGACACAAATCAGAGCTACCACAATACAAGGTTATGCACAATGTCAGTCGCTTACCAAAGAGCTGCAGTAGGTGAGAGGTCTCTCAGCCTCGAGGAGCAACCTTGAGGGGGTGTCCCAGCTTACTGAGGGATCACCAGCACGCAGGCAGCTGCTCAGGAGGGAGAGCTCAGAGGCGGCTCACTTAGGCTGTGGTATTTATGGGATAAAGCGGTTGGCTTGCAGTCAGACTACATGCGATGGGAAAGGTACGTGTGAGACGCCTTGTACCCACAGCTTTGTTCCTTGATAAATGAGTTGTGGAAAAGCCACCTGCTGTTCACGTGTTAATTGCATGATTGGTGCTCCGAGCTCATACGCATCGATGCCCGCTGTGTCACCGCTCCTTTGGGGGTTTTCAGAGAACAGATTGGAACTAGAGTTCTGGGCCTGGTTATGGCTTGGGCCTTACCAAACTACCACCTGTACCAAACTACCACTAGTTTTGTTAAGGAGTCGAGTGCATCCATCACAGTAGCCAGACATAAGGAATTTGTTTAATTTTCAGCCACTTTCTCAGCTTGGTTTCCCTGGTTTTACGACTTGATAAAATGACCAGCTTTTCCTACAGAAGGTAGATGATTAAACAGGCTTGGTACAAGAAACCTCTGTCCCAGGATGCTTCTTACTTGTACCAGTTTCCCAGTGATCAGATGCAGAGTTAAGGCAGGGGGAGGAGGATGTACCTGACACGGCGCCTGTGCTGTCAGGGAGCGAGAGGAGCTCCTGCAGTTCTGTTCACATCCCTCTTGCAGCTGGGGCAAACTACCTACTCCCTGGCTCAGGGTAGGCCCAGAGGGTCCTTGGCTGCCTCGGCCACCTCATACCAGCTGTAGGAAATAAGCTACCTGCAGAAGGACTGGAGGTCCAGTGTGCCCAGTCTGGCTTCAGTTCAAATCCACCACGTAGTTAAAATTTGTAATAAAAGACTTGAAGCCAAGGCAGGTTGGTTTGACCTCTGACACCTTGCTAAGTTCCTACCTGGAAACTCTGCATAAAGCAGTTCCTTCCCCCTTTAGAAGGTTGTTAATCAGCAGTAGAAGTGACAGATCTCTCAGCACTGAGAGACATCTTGCCCGTACCTTTTACGGGGCCAGCTCAGGTTGTAAGAATCAAAGGAGTTTCTCTCCCCTGTGAAAAATGCTACAAAGAACGAATGTTTAATTCCTTATTGTCGTAAACTGACTGCACTGTATGTAAGTGCCCAGCATTGTCTTAAGCAATGCTTTTCTTAGGGCTGGCTACTTCATAATGAGCTGTTACTGTAGAGTAGAATTTCTCCTTGCTAGATGACTTGGTTGTTTACACAGAGTGACTTCACTTCCTTTGGCTGCTAGCTTAAGGCAGTGCGTAGCAGGGCCTGTTATCAGCGCCTATTACACACCAAGAGCTTAGGATCCACTCCTCACAAAAGCCTCCCTGGCACACGGTGTGGCCTCTTTGTTTGGTTGATAAATACCGCTGTGGACTTTGACAGTGGAAATAGTGTGTGGCCAGCTGGGGTCTGGGGCCTTTTTTTTTTTTCCCTGTTGTTCCTACTGAATGCTGAGAGCAGAATAATTCAGAAGTCAGAAAGGTGCCTGTGGAAACCGGCCACTCGACCTCTGGCTGACGCGAAGGAATAGAAAATCCTGAAGCAATTTTTGTCTCTTTCCAATCAATGTGCAGAATCTGTGCCTGGTATGGAACAGTACATGTTTATGTAGATAGAGAGAGGGCGATTCCTACGGAGTAGCACCAAGTGTCTCTTGTATAAAGTACAGTAGGAAAAAGCCATGCAGCTGGCAGGCAGACAGTTTAAGTGAAGAGGATGCTGCAGAAGGCAGCGTGATTTTACTATTATTCCATCTTGTTTCAAGGTGCCTTCAACTTCACCATAATGTCCTAGTAATTTAATTATTGTTTCCAAGATCAGCGTGTTAATAAATGCCGACTTTGTTTTGATGCCTTTATAAATTATTGTAATATTACTGAAAAACATGTATTATGGGTGGTTTTTTAACCTTTCCTTCCAGTCTTACCAGCTAAAGCCCCCAGAACAGGTCACCTCAACAACAGATGCTTCTCCAAGAGAGTGACCCTGGGAGGCAGAGAATAGTGCAGTTGTCTTCTGCTTCTCCCAGGAAAGGAGCTGGACTGTCCTGAAACACTATGGCTGTGAGAGCAGGGAAAAAAAAACCTGAACCAAAGCGTATCCCCTATACCCTCCCCCTCAGCTGTGCCCCTGCTCCTGGCTGCTCCCACCAGTGCCTGTGGGACTCAGAACTGACTGGACTGAAAAGCTAACCCAGAGAATAAAGCAGGCTTTATTTAACGAGGCTTAATTCCCCGATTCGGTGTGCTGCACAGCTCAGCAACTGCGAGACACCGCTGGGGCTGCCAGAGCATTGTCTGCCCAGGCTGGTGGCTGGGTTAGCTTTTGTTGTCATTTCTACTGCTGCAGTGCAGGCGGCACAAAACATCCCGGGCTGGATGGCAGCGTCTGATGGGCTGGGAGAAAGGCAGCGTTGCCATTAACTACATGCTGCACAACCGCAGTGCCATCAGCCTCTCTCTGCTCCATGCTGGCAGGAGCTGGAGGACGTGCCGGAGGTTCCCCAAGCTGCCCTGCGCCCTGTCTCCAAGGAAGCTGGCTGGCACTTGCGCAGGAAGACTTGTGCAAGTGTTCATCTCCAGCTGCAAAGTTCACCCTCCCAGCGATACTCGGCACCCGGGGCACTCTGTACTGGGTAACGCACAGGTCTATTCCTTGTTTCCAGCTTTGGTCCCATGTGCCAGCAGCCCAAGAACTGGCCTCTTTCCTGAGAATTGTTAGAGTCATCATTCGGTATCCCCAGGGAACGTGATCACGAAACCTGATGCAAGTAAAGAGTATTTCCCAAGCCCCACTTCTCTAACACATCAAAGGCAAACATTTCACCTCTATTTATTTCATTAAAATAAAAACCATCTCAAAAGTATTTCCCTTAAATTCACAGCTGCTTCTGGCAGTGTAAGCCTGCTACCATCAGCGAAGGACTGGAGTCCATCTGTAAAAACATTCAAAGAACACAAGGAGAGGCTGCAGCACTGACTCGTCAGTACAAGATTCTCCGACCCCTCTCCCACACCACCATCAATAAGTCCAGGTGCAGAGGGGTGCAAACTGGATGTGACCACCGTTCATTAGACCTGTTTACAGGTGGAGCAGCTTCTGTCACCTCCACAGAGAACAAGAGACCAGGGGAGTGTTGGCAGAACAGCTCTATCTGCCCGTGGCGAGGCACCAAGCACACCTTGGCATGGAGGAAGCGGTACTGACTGGGGGCCAAACCCTAGACTTACCTTAGTGCAAAACTATTGCCAGCGCTTTCCCCTGATTCAAGACAGGCAAAAACCAGCTCGCACTGGTCTGGGGGCCACTACCTGCCCTTTCCTTTGGTGCTAGCTGCCCTAGCAATTCAGAGTTCATGTTCTGGAGGAAAAAAATACCAGATTGCTTAGAGAATACAGGCTCTTCATGGAGGCACAGGCAAGGATGGCCCTCTGCCCTGCTCTGGTGAGACCCCCCAGGAGTCCTGCGTCCAGCTCTGGAGCCCTCAGCACAGGAGAGACCTGGAGCTGTCGGAGCGGGGCCAGAGGAGGCCCCAGCAATGATCCGAGGGCTGGAACCCCTCTGCTGGGAGGAAAGGCTGGGAGAGCTGGGGCTGCTCAGCCTGGGGAAGAGAAGGCTGCTTTCCAGTGCTTAAAGGGGGCTGGGGACAAACGTTTCAGCAGGGCCTGTAGCATAGGACAAGGGGAACGGTTTTGAACTAAAAGAGGGGAGATTTAGACTGGATATGAGGAGAAATTAATTTATGGTGAGGGTGGTGAGGCCTGTGTGGCCCTGGCCCAGGATGCCCAGAGAAGCTGTGGCTGCCCCCTCCCCGGCAGTGCTCAAGGCCAGGCTGGATGGGGCTGGGAGCAATCTGGGCTGGTGGAAGGGGTCCCTGCCCAGGGTGGGGGGCTGAAACCAGATGCTCTGTAAGGTCCCTTCTGACCCAGACGGTTCTGGGATTCTGTGCTCGGCCCCTCTCCCACTTGACACTCCCGGGTTGTGCAAGCGAGCCTGTGCTCAGGAAGCAGAGGGCAGGAGCATTTGTCATT